TGTAAGTTCATGTTTAATTCCCATTTTTTTCGAAAAAATTCTTTTATACTTTTAGCTAAAAACTCACTATATTATCACTACGAATTCTTTTTAGTTTTCTTTCCTGTTTGTCTTTCTTCTTGAATGATAAGTTTGATTAGAGCTTCTGAAGTTTCACTCTTCTTCTCAATTGTTATCACAAATATGAAATTACTATAATCATCTACCACTGTTTAAAAATAACAACTTCCATCTATTGATTTCTCAATTGGTCCAACTAAATCTATGTGCCATAATTCTAAAATATCTTCAGATTGCTTAAATTTCACACTTTTATAAGATGTTCGTGTTATTTTACCTAATGTACAAGGTTCACAATTGTTTTCAGAAATTTTACATTTTCTAATCCAATGACCGATGAAGTGTTTTTTCATTTCTATGAGCCTTTGATAATTTATATGACCTATAGTCTCTGATGCCATAGTACATCATTAACATAACTAATTTTACCTTCTTCAACAATATTTCCTTCAACTTCAAATTTATTTCCATTTCTGTTAGCTATATATAGAATGTTTCCCTGTTTATTGATCACTTCTGCTTTATTTTTGGTAAAAATTACGTTTAAATCATGATCTACAATTTTTGATACTGACAGCAGATTTTCACTTAAATTCGGTACTTGCAGAACATTTTCTACTCTCAAGATGATGTTCTTATTTCTATCAGTTTGCATTTTAATGTTACCAATACCAACTGATTTGATCATGGCCCCTTTTTCAGCCGTCATTATTTGTCGTTCTTCATCTTTAAAATTAGTAAATATTTCTTTATTAGTTGCCATGTGAGATGTGGCTCCTGAATCAATAATCCATTTAATTTTTCCATTCTCTTGTTTATTTATTTTATTCTTTTCATCATTTCTATCTTGATTAAGATATGAGCTTTCTATTTTCTTAGATACTTCAAATAAGCATGTAGCTGTTTCATATTCTCTTTCCTTGCTTGACATTCTATAAGTTTTATTTGTTACATTTCTCTGCTGTCGGTGTTCTTGTTTAGTTTTCATTTTACATTCAGTTGATTTGTGGCCGAATTTTCAAAAGCACATCAAAAGCACTTTATACTATTATTATTATTACGACATTCTTTTATTAAATGTCCTAATTTTCCACAATTAAAGCATCTTCTTTCATATTTCGATTTTATCCAGTTTTCTTTTGCCTTAGAACTTACTTCTATTTCTTTTCTTCTTTGTTTATTTTTTCCTTCTGTTTCTTTTAAAGCTTGTCTAATTGAAGCTAGATCTTTCTCTTTATCGCTTTTAATAATTTTAAAACATCAAATTCAAATTCTTTTCTAAGTCCTTTTAGTATGAAGTAAATTAATTCTTTATCTCTTATTTCATCTCCAACTTGAATACTTTTACTTTTCAGAATAACAGCTCTATTCATATAATCATCTACTGATTCATTTTGACTCATTTTCAGTTGAGCTAATTCTATTCTGCATTTGATTTGAATATCTTCTGTTCTTGCCGCCATTTCATTTTTGATTTTCTCCCATAACTTCTTTGCGTTCTTTTCATTCGCATATTTTAACGCTTGTGGAGCTGTCATAGTTTGATTCATTATATTTCTTGCTATCGCGTTATTATAAACCCATATTTCCCAAGTTTTTATTTCATTTTCGAAATTAGCATCATCCTTTTTATATGGTTTTGGTGGTTCATCAGCTTCTATCACACTTCTCCATATCTTTAAACTTCTTAATTCACTTTCAACTCTGTTGGCCCAAATAAGATAATTATCGTCACTTAATTTTTCTATATGACTCAAATTTATCATATTATATGCCATATTTTCTAATTTATATTCACTAATTATAATACAAGTCTAATTTATCTCTTAGAGAAATTGGCTATTTTGTTAAGCCTAAACAACATCAATGTTCTATCTAAAAGTTTATTAACAGAGGGGCAACCACGATCTGCTACCAAATGTTGGTTATTTAAGATTGACATATATATAACATTCTCAAAAGAATCATCCACTTCTAACAAAAAGTACATTATGGCAATATACAAAAAGAAAACTTTATTAAAGAAAATCAGACATAAGAAATCTTACCACATTCTACCAAACCATCATAATAAAAAACTCTCTCTTCCAGATACATTTTTAACTCGTTCTTTTTACAATTTCATATCAATGTTGCCAAAATATTAAAACTTAAAATTATGCTTTATAAACAAATACTATCAATAATTTTTAAAAAATAGCTTTTCATATAGTATTAATAAATATTTATTACGCATCATTGAGGGAAAAAATTTCGTATAATTAATTCTCCGTAAACATTTATTTGAAATTTAAGGTTAAAAATAGCTGTGGCAATTCAAATAACAAAATCAATTACCGCATTTTGCGTTATTATCGCTCAAAAAAAAAAAAGATGCCAAATTTCAAAGCGCGAAAATATGTAAATTCGTGTATATCTTAGAAAATTTGAATAAAAAACTCTAATTTTTTACAGCAACGCTTAGAAATACACCTATCTTAAGATGATGGTAAAACTTTTATAGGTTATAATTATTTTTTTTTTCGAAAAATTTAAAAATTGTTTAAAAATAGAAATTTTAAAAATAAATCATAAAAATAAGTGAATTTTATTTGAAATGAACCTAACTTTCGAAATGTGAAAGGAGAATAAAAAAAGTTTAATAAAAAAAGAGATATTAATAAATATATACCAAATTCAATTAATACTTAAGAGCTAAAATTTTGAGAAAATTTTTTAAAACCTAACAAAACTTGCCAATCTGGCATAATTTAAGTCGTAGAATCGAAATATGGAAAATGAGCATATCTTTAGAATTTCGGATTCACATTTCTGCGTGCTGGCGATAAAAAGGCTTCCCCCCCCTCGTAGACTTTTGCCATTGCTCGCTTTTAAATCGTTGAGTTTGTTACTCAAAAATTCGTTAAAGTTTTACAAAATATGAAATCTCTACATATAATAAAAGAAACAGTCTGTGTGTATGTGCGTCTTTCGTTCGCGCTGAGCGTAAGCTAATAGACCCACGGCTACGAAATTTGGTACATAAATGCATCTAAGCAAGAGCCACTCGAAGCCACCTCGAAGCGATTTTTTTCGAAATTCGAATTCGATTTTTTTTTTTTTTTAATTTTATGTTTTGTGACGAAATCGCGTGATTTTGAGACATAATGGGCTTTAGTAAAGCGAGATTTTATTCTACACACTCCATTTTCACATCGTCATAAAACGTAGGCACTTAGCTATTTTACGAACTTAAAATAAATTTCGTGTTTCAATAAATCGATTAAACACGAATTTATTTAACAAAGGGAGCTTAACACCTTTTCAACGGGATTTTTTTTAAAAAATTTATTTTTAAAAATGTACAGTTTATTTTTCTTTGATTTTTGGACACGTTAAACTTTCATCCTTGCGACTGCTTTTACAAAAAGAATTTTGGAAAAATGATAATACTTTGTATTTTTAAAAAAATTTTAAATGAAGCTTCCGAGTACACTTCTCACATCTCACATCTTTAAAAATGTGATTTTGGCAACAATTTTCCTTTCTTATTGTTTGTTGATTGATTATTGATGAAATCGCACCATTTTGAATAGTTTCATTCTTTTAGAAATATGGGTTTGGCAACAATTTTTCATCGTATTTCTTATGTCACTGTTTTTAAGAGATTGGCATATTCATTGTCATTTTATATATATATATATAATACATTTTTATTGATTTTTTTTATAAAGTTGTTCTGCAGAGTAAAATTCTGCGCGGAATTTGATGTTTTTTGAGTTGCTTTCATGTTATTTTTTGCTTATTTCACTATTTGTAAGATATTGAAAAGTTTTGCATGATCTTTTCTACTTCAACGAAAAGTTAGTTAAATTTTTTATTAGGATAATTAATATTTGAATTAAGGGATATAGCTCATTTCATTGTAATTTTTTTTTTCTTGAAAATATAAGATAAAATATCATTAATTATATTTTGCTTTTCAGAATTTTTTGTTTTTTGTATTCTTTTATGTTATTTATTGCTCATTTCACTGTTTTTAAGATATTGAAAAGTTTTGAGAGTTTTTTTAGGAAACAAAGTTCTTAACCTCCTTTATACCATTTGAGTTCTTAAGATTTTGCAAAGGGAAGTTGGTTAATTTATTTATTAAGATAATTAATATTTGTATTAAGGGATATTGACTTATTTCATTGTAATTTTGTTATACGAAATACTTTTTTTTATGAAGTTGTTCTGCAGATTAAAATTCTACGCAGTTTTTAAATTTAACGTTTGGTGTTCCCTTCAGCCATTTTTCCGGTACATTTAAAAGCCAGCCGAAGGCTGGCAGCGAAGCTACTAGTAGATAATAAAACAAATTCCAAATTTCAGATTTGGGCTTTCAGATGCCCATATTCGCAGTAGGATTACGTCATTCGATATATGTGATATATTCACATATTCGATATATTCAGTATATGTGATCGAAAAATTAATTCGTTTTGCTAATATTCAGTACTTGAGGTTTGCAAATAAAACTGAAAAAACAAGCATCCAAAAACAAACGTGAGCCGCTGTAACTTTATAATAACAATTCGAACTCATTCTACGAGTAGAAATGTTTCTGGGACTGTCTTTTCTCATTTCAAAGGCTGTTAGATTAAAAATTCCAAATGCACCTTTTGTCATTTTTGTACTTGTTTACTGACTTAAACTATTTAAATTTTTTAACTGAGTATTTTATATTGCTGTTATTTATATAACTTAAAAACGCTATTCTGGATTTTTTTATCAAATTATTAAAAATTAAAAAATAGAGAGAAATTCTGAAATATGATTTACATAAGAATTGCTGTCACTTGAATGCAAGTAAAATAATAAAAAAAAAGGTATTCAAACTATAAGAATCAAATTTAATAGTTAAATTTTCTGCAATTTATGGTAATAATAACTAATCGTTTAATAATTTTTAAACTTACTTTCTGTCAGTCTCAGTCAGTATTCCTAAGCTGAATCCTTCTCCACAGAACACACCAGA